CTCGCTGGCCGGCACAGCCGGTGGGACGGGTGATGCTGAGAGCGGCAGCGGTGGCAGCCCCACGGGCTTATGGTGCTTCAGGGTTGTTTTCTGCTCCCTCCCACCCTTTGTGCCCCATTTTTTTGTGTTTGCCGCGGCCTGGAGGGACAGCGATGCTCTGGATGCAGTGGTGGGACCTTCTGGTCCCTGTTGGCACCAGGCTTGGGGATACGCGTCCTCCTCATAAAAGGGACTGGGGCTGCTGGGGGCTCTTCTGGGAAACGCACAGGCAAAAAACAGTTTCACCCCATTGGTTTTCGCTGTCCTAGCTCTGGTAACGCTGCTCGGAGCCTTTTGCTGTAAAGGTGCTTCTCGCTGGAGGGAATTACTTTGTGGAGCTGGGCTGGGGAGAGGTGATGGGCTGTCACAAGCAGCTTCAGCGAAAATTAATTTTAGCTGCTTAACTCAAAGGGTATCCAGGTCTGCAGGGGTTTATCTGTGTGGCTCTGGCTTTTGTGGCAGGCTCTGGCTGCCTTCGTTTCTACGTACATGCACAGCACATGAAAAGGCTCGTGGCACAGCACGGGATTTATCGACGGCCTTTTAAACTCCATGCAATACCAAGCCGCAATTGTGCAAGAGCAAACGTGGCAGCTGGGCTGTGACCATCAACCTGTGCACCTGGCTCTGTGCTGGCCTTGATAAGGATGAAAGCTGCACAGAAAATGGCATTTCTGCAGGTGCCCTAAGCTCCTGCCATCTCCCAAACCTCATTCCTGCTGCAGCAACGTGTCACCGTGGGTGGCTGAGATGTGGTGAAGGTGCTGCAGCATCTCCAGCACAGCCAGAGAACCTCGGGCAGCATGGGCGAGGCGTGCACGAGGGCTTTGCTGCCCGTGCAAGGCGGTCGAGAAGCCAAAGAAGACTTGGACCATGAACTGGTTTTAGATGTATCTAAGTGGTAGAAGTTTCTTGTATATTTTTCTGTTATTTTGTGTGGCATGGAGATCTCTGAATGAAAATTAAATGTTACCAAAGCCCTTCAGGAGCTGGGCTTCCCAGCCACCCTCTGAATCAAAGACACGGCCAGAAATATTCTCCAAAGTGTGGAAACTGTCAGCAGCCTTAGGCTTTCAGTTTGGGGTTTTTTTTAATGTTCTGGTTCTGTTGAATTCTGAACTCTCACTTAAGGAGCTGAGCCCAGAGCAGTGCCGGGGACCGGAGGACGGAGGGAACAGGAGTGGGCTGTGAGTGTGGGAACAACTACGTTGCAGGCTGCATCTCACGCGTCACGTGTGGAGCCCCATGGGAATCCTTCTTGTGGTCTGGCACTGCTGAGTTGGGGTTTAGGGTTTGGGGTGTTTTGGAAAACGGAGAGGGTTTTGCCTTTTCCCTTCTGCTTTCGCATGTGCTTCTCTGCAGCGCAAGGCACTGAATCCCCACGGTCCCACATGGGTGAGGCTTCCAGTTTTGCAGACAGCATGCAGCACCCTTTCCTGCAGTGGTATCACCTACTGCCCTGATTATAACACCAAATATTCTGGTATACAAATAAAAATGCTCATCCTGGCAAGACTTGAGCAGCAGCCTGGTCAGACCTCTGTTCTGCCCGGGCTAGTTTTTGTTTTGTCACTATTTTGTTACGGTGGCAGAGTCAGTCCCACATTTTATTTATAAGCAGCCATTTTTTCCTAATTGGTTGGATATTTTCAGCCCGTCAGCTGAGCAGCGTTGTGCCAGAAGCGAACGTCACGTGAGCTGGTTCGCCGTGGGTACAGCACGTAAATAGCTGACAGCAACCTGACAGCCTCCCCTGACGTTGAAACAAGCATCCAGCTTTGAGAAAGCGCTGCTGCCGCGGCGAGGACCTTTCGCGTTCACGGGCTGAGCTGCGAGGCAGGATGTTTCCTCTGCTTGAAGATGAAACATCTTCACCTTGTCTGGGGCGGCGCAGGGAAAACAAGCGGTGGCTTTTCAGCGCGTGGCTGCCCACGCACGTGCCTGCAGCGTGGTCGCGCCGGTGTCTTCTTGTTAGGGATGCTTCGGTCCGGCTTTAATTCTGGAAGCGGGAGGTCCGCAAGCCAGAGCTGGTGGGTGAGGGAGGGGTTAATGTCTTCCCGCGTTGGATCTCTGACTTGCGGAATCCCGCTGCTGCAGTGGTTTGAAGCCAGTCGGTGGGAAGCTGTTCCCGTGTGCGGGTCCCGTCTGGAAGCAAAGAGGCGTCCGTCCTCTCTGCCGGGGCAGCTCTTGGCCTCGCAGAGGTAGGAACAGAGGTTCAGGCTGTCCCCCCACGGCCACAGGGGTCTGTCCCCCGTTGCCACAGCCTTGTCATCTCCTTTCCAAAACTGCCCGGGCTCTATCTTTGAAGAAGACCACAACCCTAGTGGCTCCGTCCGAGCCTGCTGAGAACCTGCCTGGGTGGCCGGGCAGGAGCTGTCACCTCCCTTCCAGCCTAAACTCATTCCTGGCCAGTTTCTACAAATGTGTCTTTGTGCCAGCGCTGTTCTTCAGCTTTGCTTTATTTTTTTTCTCTCCGTGACGTTTATTTAGTCCCCGGGTGTATTTATAGATGGCAGCAGATCACCTGATAGCTTCTTTTCTCCTTCTAGGATAGGAAAACCAAGCTCCCCCCCATGCTCTCGCTGTAGCAAGGGGTTCCCGTGTCCCCAGCCAGCCCCCGAGCCCTCCTCGTGCTCTTTCCCGTCACAGTTCATGTTTCTTGGACACAACAACCAGGTCTGGGTGCTGAGGTCTCCCCGGGGCCTCGTGCTGTCTCAGCCTTCTTCTACCCCTGCTAAAAATACAGCGCCGACCCCGGCTGCCTTATTTGCTTCAGACTTTTTCTTTGCTTGTTTGTTTGCCATCACTTAAGTCCACTTTCCAGCTGTTGCAACGTTTGACCCTTCTCCCACAGCCAAGGCCGAGGAGTCTCCTCTTCCCACCCGCCGCTTTCTCAGGGATGCAGCCGTGGGTGCGCGTCCGTCTGTCCGGGCCCTCAGTTTTCCGCCGAGCGACTCAGAGACGTTTACCTGCCCTAAGCACTATTTTCATCTCCTTTGGCCGAGAAAAAAAAATCCCTTATAGCGATTTCCAGGGATATAGGGCCACCTCCTCCGGCCCGGGACCTCGCCGATGAGCGATGGCTTTATGGCGGGACTCGAAATCCCGCAGAGGAACGCGCCGAAAAAGGATTTAATGCAAAAAAAAAAAAAAAAGAGGGCAGAGCTCAGCTGAGCTGGGATGCAAAGCCGCTCTCGGGGCTTGCGATGGTTTTGCTTTTATTTTAGGAGACGGCTGACTCTGCTCGTGGGCCAGGGGTGTCTCGAGGGCTCGTTGCCCCCGTGCCCGGCCGCACCGTGAAGGCGATCAGCCCCGGGGGCCGTCGGTTGAGTGCCCTGCTCCCAGAATGGCCCTTTTTAACGGGAAACCGGCTTCTCCGCTCCCTCCTCGGGTGGGAGAGCTGGGATTCTCAGGACGGATCGCGTAGCGGGATTGAGGGCTAAGGCGGGTGCTGTTACCGAAACGGCTCCGTCTGCTCGGCCGGGACCGGACGAGCAAAAACCGTTCGGTGGGGAGCGCGGGTGTGCGGCCCTCCCGCCCGGGGCCGGCGGAAACCGGCAGCAGCCGGCATCGACCCCCCCCGCGGGGAATTTCCCGCTGTCCCTGCGGGGACGGGCCGGG